GTCATTTCGCTAGAGAAATGGATAAATTACGTAAACCACGTAATAGCAACAGAAAAAAAATATGTGAAATTGACAATTTGTTAGAGGATATCGAACCAATTATTATAAATATAAATAACGGAGGTAGTGATGACAGTGACGATAATAATGATAGTTAAGCAGAAACTACATGTGACATCGATTGACAGAAAAAGGAACCAAATATAATGGTGTACAATTATGATTACTTACACGCGAAATTAAATACAGTGACTTCTTTTATTTTCAACTTTCAATACTTCTACGTTTTGTTACTGCCAATATATACATACAGTGCGGTTTTTTAAAATCCTTCCCCCCTTAACTTTTGAACAGAACAATACATAAATAAAATGTTAATTTATATATTCAGTTTTATTTTATTCGATTTTATTTAAATCTATAAACAAATGGTTTGTAACGTTAGCACATACTGTTGAATTAAAAACAAACTGCTTGTGTAACATAAATAAAAGGCCTTTCTTAATTTCTATTTTATTTTAATTTAACCCAAGTATGTTGTACCAAATATTATTTATGTTTAAGAACCACTGAGAGAAGAAAGCCAGGCAGGGTCGTTAGTGATCATTAATAGTTAAGCTACCCTCAACACAAAAGATGGATTAGGCTAAGTAGTAATAGAAGTGACGTTTATGTTAATACAAGTTTGCAAAGAAGTATGATATAGATGTTGTGAATTTACCCTGTATAGACAAGTCACTTTGAGACAATCTATAGTTTACTATACTAATATCCACTGAATGATAGTATCTTACTTAATAGTCACTTCTCTGGCAACTTAGATTCGAGGTAGTTGATATGTATCATAAGATGTGTCAGATAGTGGTGACACATGAAAATTATCATGTATTTATATATAGTGCAATAAAAAAAAATCCAGAGAGGCAGGGGTGGGATGAATAATGCACACCAGATTAACAAAACAAATAAGTAATTGGGAAACCTGCTCAGAGAGAATAATATCAGTAGAGATGAAAGACAAAAACCAAAATATAAAAACGATAATAAATGTATTTAGCCCAAACAATGACGACTCGGCTTATAATAAGGATAAATTCTGGGAAGAATTAGCGTTCAGAACAAGCAAAAGAGAATATATATATATATATATATATATATATATATATATATATATATATATATATATATATTAGTTGTCTTTTATCGGGATAGAGAAGAAAAGGATAAGAATACAAATATATTATATTACAAAGATTTACGTTTCTTTATTTTATATGAACGAATAAAACAATTATTAAATTCTGTCGTTATCTTATCAATCAGCATACAAGAAAATAAATCAAATTATTATGATAATAAGATTATAAAGCTACATACATTTATATTACGTGAAAAACCAATTTTACTTAAAATTTTCTTTACTTGAAAAAAAGAAACCACAAAACTTTAAACTTTTGATTAGCCTAACAAAACCTCAGTTCTTAAATTTTAATGATAATGACCATGATGTCGAAACGATCCTTCACAGATATAAAATTCAATTGTGCAAACACTTACAGTTTATTTTCTTCTTGAGTTGTATGTTGGAACATACCCAGAAAAGTCCAGTCTCCAGTTTAAATTATTATCACTTTTGCTAATACAAACCATTTCCAAAAAAGTACATGCTCTGCCAAGATGGCACAAGATGGTTTCTTAATTCGACAATCATTTTTGTGAGAAATATTGCGATTTGAGAGATTTCTTCCAGTCTCACCAATATACTCAGCTTCACACTGAGTACAACCAATGCTGTATACTACATTTGTTTGATCTAATTTGTCTTTAATAAACACCTTTATAAAAACAGAGTTTATTCTTCATTCCTAGCCTTTAAAATGCATTTTGAGTTTTGTCGATTGAATGGCCATCAACTGGTATATGTGTGTTGGACATTACGTCATCAGTGTCGCCGTAATAACGTAATCGACGATCTTTATAAAAACTACAAACCGCCTACTTATCGCATTTGCAATGATATAATCATTTATATATTTATTTCTACAATAAACTTAAATTACACCAAATGTTCAAATTTACTACCTGCAGTAATAATATAATATGAAAGATGGCTAATAAATTCTTTCCCAACGTTTTCGATGACTTCAGGTGTTATTTGTGTAATTTCCGTTGTGATGCGCTCCTTCAACTCTTCTACCTTATTCGGCGATTATGATACACTCTGCTCTTTAAATATCCCTACAAAAAAATGTTTAACGAAGTCAAATCTGGAGACTTTCGTGGCCATTCGATGGTCTTTCTTCTACCTATCCACCTACCTGGGAAAACGTTAATGGTAATTTCGTACCTCAACGCCGTAATGTTGCTACGGCGTTGAGGTACAATTACAATACAGCCACAATTACTAAGCACGGTGTAAAACCATCTTGTTTTTGAGAAGATGTTCCGAAAAAATTACAGAAGCGAGACGAACAGAAATAAATTGAGAATTTTGGAAATTGCAAAAAAACGAACAGAAAATTTTAATAACACATCTGAACAAGTAACCGAACGGAAAACCACACTGACTATAGACACTGTTGTGTCTAGAAGGTCGAAAAGTTTTTTTATATTTTTTAAAGACAATGACGGATGCAAAAAAAGTGTCTGCAAAATATTTTTTATGAGAACGCTCTATTACGCTGGGATATGAAAAAAAAAAATGAGTTATTAAAGATGCCCTTACTAAAACAAATTCAAAAGTGACGGTCAAAAGGAGTAAACAAGGAAAGACAGAAAAAAATTGAAATAGATCGAAATGTTATTAAAGAACATCGTAGAATCTTTAAAACCCATAGAACCACACTACCGTCGGGAGCACTCACCAGAACGACGTTATCTTCCCAGTGACATAACAATAAAGATGATGTACCAGAATTTTATTGAAAAATATCCAAATATCAAGTTTTCGTATTATTTATATCGAGAAGTTGTCGCAACTTTAAATATTTCATTTGTAAAATTAGGACACGAAGAGTGCTGGTTGTGTGAATCATTTGACTTGCATTCAAAATCCAAGTCTCACAAAAAGGATTTATTGGTGGATAATTGTGAGGAATGCACCAACTTTGGTGTACATCAAAATAAATGCACTGCTGCTATATCAGAATATCAAACTGACTCATCTGCAAAAAGTAACTGGGACGATACATCAATGGTAGTTTCAGCGGATTTGCAAAAGGTAATAATTATATTAATTGTAAGTGTTTTATTTTGTTGTAATCTTCTAGGTCATAATGCTTCCGAGAATGGATATGTTTAAGGAGATTATTTTTACACCTAGAATAATTACTTTTAATGAAAGTTTTGTCGTCACTGCTAGTAAGCCAACAGTACCAACTGCAATTTTTTGGCACGAAGGAATAGCCGGAAGGAGTAAGTCAGATATTACCAGTAAATTCTATATATATTCAAATATGCAAACAATTGCTCTGCTCAAAATAAAAACTAGGCTTTGTTTACTTTTTTTACGTTTATTGTAAGTTCTGAGCATATCGCACTTGAAAAATTAATTAAGTATTAAGTATTTTGAGCCTGGCCATACCTTCACGGCTGCGGACTCATTCCACCTCCAAGTGGAACCCTCCATGAAGCAAATGGGTAAAATATACGATTTTAAAGACTTTTCAAATGCAGTAGCAAGTACAGCAAGTAATGCTAAAGTAATTATTATGGAATTAGCTGACTTTTTTGAATGGCAAGATGGTACTTCTGCATATAAACTGAATAAAATTAATCCCAGGCCATACCTAAATCAAATGGTTCAAATAAATTTTTCTAGGGGTGAATATACTTTTTCGTACCAAACCAGCTTCACATCAGAAACAGAAAGTGAAGTAAATATTCTAAATGCAAAGATTGTAAAACAGGGAATGACAAAACTTTAACCCAAGTCCATTCCTGGAGGCATAACGACTGAAAGAAAACAACTAATTATATCCAAACTGTGTGGACACATGGTTAAAATCAAACAAACGTTTTGGCATAATTTACCAACTTTAATGGAAGCTAGAGCTTTAGATGATTAAAAAACTGATTATGACTATGTTATTTTGTTTATCTTCATAAACTAACTTTGATTAAGATAAGACTTTTTGCTTTACCTTATTTTTATGATTTGTTAGGATTAAATGTTGTATCTATCAAAAGTCTAATTTCAAAAACTCTGAAAGAAAATTGCACGCACTCACAAATTTGTATAATCAAAAAATAATTGCTGTTGTAACAAGATTTTTAATGAGTCATTACAGTTGATGGCAATTAATCAAATCTAAAACATCGAATATCTCAAAATAGGGATTTTGTCAGTTACGACTTCTATTCTTAACAGGGCAGTATACTTATTCAAAATTTGTAGCGTTCACAAAAAATTGGACATTTTTGAGGCGTTCCGGCTTACTACATAATTACATTTGTAGCTCCTCATAAGATAAATTATAATTTCGTAAAAGTAACTTTATATTTTAAACATTCATATACTTACATATTTTGGTGCCTTGCTCGAGGAAAATATATTTTTTATGTTGAGTGCTCTAAACTAATCATTGTCAAATCAAGTAATTTTGCAAAGTTTATTTTAAAGCTGAACCAATAATTGTTGTTGAAAAATCGATTATACGCATCAAAAAACATATAAAAAAACGTCAAGGTAACGAGGGGACATAAAAGTGCGTACTCAACGCACTCTTTCGCCTATACTAGTCTATATTCTTTGTCTATACCTACTATAATATAATCCCATATAAAAAATTCAACATTCAACTTTTAACATGTCTACATGTCACCAGAAAACTGTTTCAGAATCAAAATCTAAATTGAGTATTCAGAAACAACTAAAATGTATTACTTTCTCTTAGAATAATTATACGTTTAGTAATGTAAACGAAAATGTTATTTTACTAAAATAGCGGCTAATACAAGAGATTAATAAACCTATATATGGAAAATATGTTTAAACTTACCACTAGTGGTCCACAATTTACCACAACGGTATTACAACAATGCTGAATAATTTCAAATGATTCAAAAATTAAACGTTGAAGCCTCGTCACTTTATTTAAATTTATTCTGCTCATTTCTATATTAAGTTCTTCCATATTAAGCAACTAAACTAACTGAAGAATAAACCGACGAACTATTCTCACTAAATTTGGAACTAAAAAACAAACTACTAAACTTTAAACAATAAAAGTACCCCGTATTTTTTAACTGTACAAAACAGCAACTACCGACCAACACTATCGTTTATGTAGGAGTACGCATGGCATCCCGCATAACTGCCATAAGCACAGCCACCTAAAGCTTACAAGCCGTGAACTAAAAATGGCAACGCCGCATCAGCTGTTAGAAGTAGTCCGACTATAAAGAGCCCATCAAAATAATAAATAAAAGAGGAACATCATAATATTCGCTATAAAGTTAAAATTAAGTAAAAAAATCGAACAAAATAGTTTGATAAGGTACATATATATATATATATATATATATATATATATATATATATATATATATATATATATATATATATATCACATCTATTAAAACTGCAAAACATTGAATACAATGAGGTGTAATATTAATAGAATTTAAAAGTAATACAAGTGCATTCAGCTTACATTATTTACATAATTTACGTTAAAAAAAAAGAAAATATTCTTTTAATATTTTTGTAAACAACTTGCAGTTTATTGAATTCTAGTATCCCTTGAGCGAATATTATATTTATTAAGAGTGGCTTAAAAAAATGTTATTGAAATTCCAGGTATTTATTTTTTTAAAGTTGAAAGCTTGCGCTTTTTAGATAAACTTTTAGTTAGTTTCTTTGTCATAATTTCATTATTCTTGTTTTTTGTGAAGTTATTTAACAAAGTATTGGAGAAAATCACAGAAATTTTAAAATATAATTCTCTAACAGCTGTTCCACAAACACAAATTTTAGAAAAATCAATATAAAAATTGTCACTTTCCAAACTCGTGAGGGCTAAAGAAGCCAATAAATATTTTTGATTTTTATGAGACAAAAACAGTGACATAGTTTCTGGATGTTTAATTATGTATTCAAAAAGAGCACACGAGTGATAATAAATATAATGAACTTCATTTGTTGCAACAGATAAACCACCTCGTTGCAGATAATCAAAATATTCATCATTTACCTTATCACCTATACTTTGTACAATCAGATCTCTACAGGTAAGGCATTTAAGAGTTTTTTGTACAGTATGAACTGCATATCCGCTAATATATATTTGACTTGATTCCTCACAATTGTATGTACGCAGATAATCACTATTAAAAATAGAAGTAAATTCTGAACATTCTATGAACTGATTAAGTGTTGCACAATTTAGATCATCAGGTGGCTGAAATTTTAATTGTGTTAAATCACTAGTAACAGACGATTTCAGAATATTCTGTATTCGAATTTTTTTTTCTGAATCAATCACTTGAGTAACTGAAATGTTATAATTACAGCCAGATAGCCTATAACGACCAAACCTTTCTTCTAAATTATCCGTTTGGAATTTGCCAGGTAATATAAATTCTATATTTAAATGATTAAATGAATACTCTATTACTTTGATCAAAATTGATGTGCTGTTTTTAAGAGCAAGGTATGTATCATTTGTAAGTGAAGAGCCTTCAGGAATTTGATGCCAAGAATCTAGCCACATCACAAATTTTTTTAAAAAAACTACTTTGAAATCATTATCTGAAAAAATTGGGGTAGCCAAATCATTCCTTTTTGCCTGTCCTTTAAATTTAGTTTTTACATTAATTATGTTCCACCAACTTCTAATAATTTCTAAAAATGAGGCTGTGTCTGTATAAATACTACATGACTGTAAAGCAGCTATTGTACTTTCATGAAAAATATTTTCTACCAAAGACACTTTTTGTCTTTCAAAATTATTTGGATAAATAGATTTATGATTTAGTTTATATGCTCTTTTGGTTAAAAAGTTTATCTCAATTTGGTACAATGTTTGTAAGTCCTTAAAAAATGCCTTTCGAAGAACTGAATGATTATTAAAATCTGGAAAAATAAAGGTTTTTTCTGGGTCTTTCTTATTAAGCCAATTATTCCTAATATTTTTAAAAATATGTACAAAATCATATAATAAATAAATATTCTCATTATTAAACTTAGGATTAGATATGGAAAAATTTGGAGATAACTGACCAAACATGTTTTGATTTAAACGATTGTTGTCGGTAATTACACACAATACTTTAAATCCACAGTCCTGAATATACTGAATTGATTCAAGAACTATGTCTTTGAGTTCATTACCAGCAATATTACATACAGGTACTAAACGCACCACTTCTTTAAAATGTGCAAATGCTGATGAAATCATTAACGTTAGAATAGTTTTCGCTAATTGTTTATCATTGTTGGCAGCAAAACCAGTAATTTGTTTTGAGTGATAATGAACTCCAGGATTTACATATATTTCATCTACAAGTAAATTGACTATTTTTTCTCGATCATTCAGATTTGAAGCAAGATATGATAAATAATTATTTTCTAATTGATCATCAGGAGATACATGAAAGGATGATGTTATCATTTGTAAATATCTTTTAGTGGGCAAATTTAAGTACTGCTGAATAATATTATAACATGATGTTGACTGATTATATATGGTAAGAGCAAAAATAATTGTTGGTAGAGAATATTTTGCCCTACTTGCTGTTAGTAACAGTAACTGATTTTTCACAAAAGCCAGAACTCCCTTCATTTTATCTACATCTGTATTTTCTATGACTCTGTCAATTTCACTACATATTTTGGTTATTTTAAAATTATTGTCAATAGGACTTTCAAAAAAAAAAAAGAATACCTGGACAGCAGATTTTCTAGTTGTGACCAACGCGATAACTTACAGTCAAATGGTAAAATACATTTTAAATCATGAGGTGACAGTTGGATGTCCTTCACATAAACAGATACAAGTAATTCCTTCGTAATGTTAATGTTTGAAATAACTTTTATACACTCATCACTAAACTGATTGTCAATATTTAATAAATAAAAACAAATCCTTTCTTCTACAACTTTTATTTGCCAGTTTTTTAACTCAACCCTCTCACTAACACTTTGTAAAAGTTCCTTGAAATCCACGATAAGGTCTTTGTTTTCGAGTTCTTTTATATTATTTTCTTCCCGGAGACTTATTTCTGCTCGCCTAGTTTCAGGATTTTTTCTTGTTGGTGGTTTTGGGTTAGATAAATATGACGGTTGGTTTTCAAAAATTCTTGGTATCGCATTCTCTTTCAACTTGGGATAAACCAAATTTCGTTGAAGAACCGTACCATTTTTATCAATGAATGACTCACTTTCAATAATATCCGTTGCATCAAAATGTTTTTTACATACTACCGAACTAGAAGTTACTCTGAAATCTTCACGGTTAATAGATCTAACCCACTGAGTACGAAGGTGATCGTTTTTGGGAAAAGAGAATGTACTTTGGGCCTTTTCATACTTTAAAGTAGTTGCGTAATTTGATTTGCAATTTGGTACACTGCAGTGTCTCGGCATCTGTAATTAAAAAAATATGTTAGAATATCATATTACTACTCCCTGTGCCAATAAATTAACATCGACTTGGGGTTTGTAATTACTAAAGCGAATTTGTGAATTTAACAGTTTGTACGTATTATTTGTCTGAATAATATATATATCTAATTCTTTAATGCTTCATACAATTATTACAATATACGTAAAAAATACATACCTTTTTTTTTAATCGAATAATTCACCAATTATACAAGAAATACAAACAAAATTAGCATAATCTCATAAGTAAACACAGGGCTATAGGACCACTATCGGACTACCTCCAACGTTGCCAATTTTCTCACTTCACGGCTTGTAAGCTTTAGGTGGCTGTGCCATAAGCCATACCATAACCCATAACGTAAGTAACTTACGCGTAGACGATATTAGGCGCTTGCGCTATTATTGCAAAATAAATTTTATTTTCCAGATTTTGATATTAAATTTTTTAATTTTATGTGTGTTAGTCTGTATGAATTTGGCTTAATATTTTCTACTCGTGGCATTAAACATTAAACAAAACTATAAGAATAATACAGGGTGTCCCATAATTAATTGGACATTAGCTAATGGGTGATAGCTGACATCAAAATAAAGCGTTTGAGCTCAAATTGCTTAGGAAAAATGTTGCTACTTTTCGTTCTACAGGGAGATTCATTAATATTTTTTATATTATTTTTATGGATACCATTGAAAACTATTCAACCGATTTAAGTGAAAGTTGGTATCTTGCTATTATTTATACTCTGTTTTTTAACTAGGAGGAGTAAACCAAAAAGACAGATTCACACCCAAGAAAGTTACTAGAAAAGTCACCAAATACATCTTCTTTTTTTGTTGATTATCTCGGACTTTCGGTAATCGAGTAATCAATATCGGACAACCTTACACGTCAATTTTAACCTAACTTTATGTTTGAATAATATTTTTTTTTAATTCACTTTCAATATATATTACAATTATTATAATAAAAAAGGACGTTTTCACATGTAATCCCATGTATATATATTTAAATATCGGGTGATCCAGTTTTATAGATCTTTTGAGTATATGGTACTTAATTTAGAGAATATTTTGATCCAGAGAGTCAATAATGTTTCAAATCTAAGTATGGTTTTTCTCATAAATTTGTCTTTTAATTTGCAAATAGATCTTATATGCAACAAAGGTATGCAAATGCATGTATCAAAAAGTTAGAGAAAGTTCAAAGATTTCTGAAATACTGTTCTTTTAAACTGCGTAGACCATATTCTTATTCTGGTGTGATTAATTTCTTGAATCTAGGTTCTTTTTCTTACCAGAAGAATTAACTTTGACTTTGATTATTATTTTTAAGCTTAATAATCCAATCTCCTGAATTGCTTCAGCCAGTTTGTTTTACATATTCCTTCCCATTCACTGCTTTAGAATTGACTTTTTCATGTTTCATATCACAGAATAAATTATGGTTCAAATATAGGTGTGGTCCTACTTTTCATGCATGGTAATAACAATAAACGCATGCAAAACAATAAATTTGTATAAATAAGTGTGTACTTGCAATTTCTTTAATGCTGGATTCTTGTTTAATTTTGACAGTGAGTTTGTCCCATTTGTTATCAATAAATAAAATTTACTAAAAAATACTGGATTTCTGTGAGATAATCAACTAATTCAATCTCTTATGTTACATTTTGGTATAATTTTGTAGTTTTCTTGTGATGATCTACTAA